GTATTGCCTTTTATGCAAATGAGCTCAGAAAAAAGTCTAGAATAGTGTCACATAATTTGAAGCAAACCGGCTTCTCTAGCTGGATGGGTGCAGAAGTAAAAGACTGGAAGTAACTTTTCTGGCATAACACATGGACATTAAATGAACATCAGCACTAGGGATTATAGCACAAGGTTATGGTGAAGTTACAGACTATGGGAGGGAGAGACCCACAGTGCTAGATGAAGCCAGGCATAATGTTCTCCCTACAGTTCTGTACTAATGCACCTCAGTCCTGATTTGCAATAGCACTTCTGTATCAGCCCTCAGCATCTGCCAAGCAGTCTGTCAGTTACACCAAACTATATTGAATATTAATAGAGAAGTAGCCATGTTAAGTCTGACCTTGCAAAAACAAAAGGAAAAACTATGCAGCACTTTAAAGTGGTGATGAGTTTAATAGGTGATGAGTTTTCGTGGGCCAGACCCACTTCCTCAGATCACATAGACAATTTTCTACAAGGGATTATGCACATAATACTCATTCACCTGTGGCCTAATTATAATACAAACCTAGATTTTCAGTGATGAAGAGACTGAACTGATTATTTGCAAGTCTAATGAGTGGGTCTGTGTGGGGGAGAGACAGTAAAGGAGAATAAGAATGGATCAGCACACATGTGAATCTAAGAATTTTTACTCCAATTGCCTTCATTTTCTCTCTTCCATGTGTAATATCAGCTCTGTCAATGATGTGTGAAAAAGATGTATTATAATGAACACTGACACAGATAAATCAAAGTGACATGCTAACACCAAATGCTTTGGTGATTTAAGAGAACAGGTGGTGAGGAGAGTGCGATCTCTCAAAATATGCCTGTGTTAAGAGACCGACAAATAGGAAAGAGAAAGCTATGCTAAATTTGGAGAACAAGATTCCCTAATTCTTTTAGATTATATGAATTTCTGGCTGGCCATTTTAAGATTAAAAAGAACAACTGTTCTATTTACATTCAGCCAGCTAAGAGGCATGAGGGGAGCAAGGCTGAGCAGGATAATTTAGAAGTTCCTACAGTACTTTTCAGATGTTCTGATGAGCTAATTTGTGTATATATATAACCTGCTGGGCAAACTTTTTCCATTTGCATTGAATTATTCATGCCCCTCAACAGCTATACTAAATCTCAATTAGGGATGTAAAATCCCGGTTAACCAATTAAGCAGGATCCGGGCAGGGAGGACCACTCCTGCCCAGCTGGAGCAGCCCCCAGACCACAGGGCTCCAGCCCCCAGCCTGAAGCTGAGACTGGCTGGGGGGCTGCCTCTGTTGGGCCCCAGCCCCCAATGGAGCAGCCCCTACCTGTGAAGTGGGGTGGGTTTACCATGGACAGAGGCTGCTCCAGATGCCCAGGGCTGCTGTGGACAGGAATGGCTTTGGATGAGAGCAGCCCCTGTCCGGGGGGGCTCCCTGCCTGGCTGGGGGAGCCCCCCGCCTGTGGGAGGGGGGGAGCTGCCTCCAGCCCCCC